AATTTCCCACTTTAAGAATTCCGGATTCAATTACAACCAATCTAAGGGTTGCATCGCTACCAGGTTCTCCTTGTTCCATTGCAGCATCATCAGGAGTTGATGAATATATTAATGACGTTGGATCAATTGGCGTATAAGTTTGGGTAATTTCATCATATACGGAATAAACTCCAGAATACACGTCAAACCAAACATTGTTCTCGGGATTAAAATAATATCTCTCTTCTAATGTTGCATTATATCCTAATGGTATAGGATATATATGTGTTTGCTTTTCTGTTACGTCCTTATGTTGATCTTGTCCATTGGTATCATTCTCATATGAGGAAGAAGCTGTCCCGCATGCTTCAGAATCTGATAATTGGCCTTCCTCGCGTGTACTTTCTGTTGAATCCTCAGATTCTTTATCTGAATTTGAAGGATCTTCTTCTTTATTCGTTTCGTTAAATTTGCCGTTCTCACCTTGATAGTTCCCTAATTTATTATTAAAATATCTCCAATCTTGTATGTGTGTGTCCCAGAAAGCATACATTTTTGTTGATTCACAATAATAATAACCAGTTTCTTCATCATACCTCCAATCTTCAGGACTATTTTCCCGATTTTTTATCTCTTCATACGCTTGCAGTGCATCTTCAAAAATGGATCTACCTTCCGCAGCTTTAGATTCCTGGTCAGCATAGTAAGAACAATCTCTATTTTTAGGACTTGCGCGAGGTCTTGTCAAGATTTTGTAATCATATGGAGCATCTTCCATAGTCGCCGATTCTTGATCGGGTTTAATAAGTAAAATTATAACAAGTAAACAATAATTGTAAAAAAAAAATTATTATTTCAATTCTCTTAAACGGTACAAACGGTACGGTATAGACATGCGATAGATACCAATATGTCATTGATTTCCCGATATGGTGATGCATTACATACTTACGTGTAGTGAAAAATATTAACTCGAATCAAATCATTTTTTATCTTTAACAATATTCAGAATGGATGATTCCGAACTTCAAGCTATTCGACAAGCTAGATTGCGAGAGCTACATGCTCAACATACGGCTGTGAGTTACAAGTTTTTGAAAAATTTTAAAGCAAACTAACTTAGATTTCATTCGCTTTATTAACTTTTTTTTTCCTTTTCATTTAGGGTGGTAGTTCCAAACCGACGGAGGAAGACGGCGAACAAAAACGGTAAAAATTCTCTTTAAGCTGATAAAATTTCGTATTCTAATTAAATCACAGAGGGTTCATTTTTGCTAAATACTTTAGCTGGAATATTTTACAGCCAAAAGGAAGAGACGAGGCAAGCAATGGTAACTATGACATTTTATTTTTATACATTTTTCCTTTAAATTATTTTTTGAATTTTTAAATGTTTATTGAATAAATCGGAATAGCTAACACAAATTCTGGAAAATCAAGCTCGTGAGCGACGTAAGTATATATGAATATTAGAAATAAGCAAGTGATTTGATAATTATAATATTTTAATTAACTTTATTTTCAAAGTCGCAAGGATATCTATGGTGAAGGCCGATAAAGCGCGTGCAGTTGAGGATCTTTTAATTCGTATGGTTCAAGCGGGCCAATTGCGCGGGAAAGTAAGCGAACCTCAGTTAATCGAGTTATTGGAACAAATCAATCAACAGCAAAAGCCTGAAACGAAAATTGTGGTATTTATTGAAAATTTTACTTGATGCTTTAATTTTCAATTTTCTTTTTTTAGTAACTTTTTAATTTTGCAAAAAGTTTAACCGACGGAAATTTGATGATGAGGACGAAGATGATTATAACTTTTGAAATATTCAATAAAGTAACAATTTACATATTAACCGAGTTGCTCATCGAGTCTGATAAAAAAAATCATACGACACTTTCATTTATATAACTGAACCTTTGCAAAATGCGATTGAAAATTTTTTTTATGGATCTAATTTCTGGAGTGCGTTTAAAGCTAGATATTCCATACATCAATATATTGTCTGCTAACATGCGTGATTTATGTTCACAATGAAGTTTGAAAAGTTCTTTGTAAAAAATGTCCTTAAAAGACGAAGATAGCTTGAAGAATGGAGGAGGGTGTTTGAAATTTTAACAAAAGCATTTATATTAAATTGAAATATATATTTTTTATTTTCTTCATTTTCACAAATTCCAACAATTTTACAACTATGAGTTACTACTGATGAATCAGAATGAACTCTTTGAAAGATCAATAACTATATTATTATTAAAGAATCCAGTAAATAAAGATATTTTTTTAAGCGTAATTTTGTTTGAGAAATATTCTCATGGTTTGTTCTAGTTACATTATTATTTTTATTTCTATAGAACACATTACTACGTTATTATGAGTTACGTATATATGTTTACTTTAAATTGCTGCATGTTATGTTGTAATAATATTTTTACAATTCTAATAAGTCGTAATGCTTCTAATAGTTTTCTAATTTGCAAATATAATGGATTATTCTTTACTTATAAGTTTTCCATAATACATTTCTATAATAGCTGGATCAAGATTTATTTGAAGTTCTTTCATCATATCATTGCTAATGTTGCTGGGTTTTTTTTTCACTTGCCAAAATGCCGAAATGCTGAAACTTTGACAAAATTATACGTATGGATCTCAAAATTTGGGATAAGAAAAGTAAATCTAATTGGTTAAGTAATATGTGTATTAATTAAGGTTGTTTGTCTAAACTCATTTTGGATTTGGTTACCTTTAGTTTCGTTAAATTTTTACTGTTTGATATAGTTTCGCCATTTTGATATAGTTTACCTTTTTCCGAATTTCGCAGATTTTTTTAATATAATTTAACCAAGTTTTACCTTTAAAATGTATATTATCATTTAATTGGTTAAATGATAAAAGTTCACTAAGTTTAAAATAATAAAAATCAATGGTAAATTCAATTAGAGTAACAAATTATATTTGTAATTTTATTTTTATTATATTTTTTTAAAATATATATATAGAAATATAATTATCATATTAAAAAATAGCCAAAACTTTCTTCACTTCTTAAAAAACTTTTGAATATGATTATCTAACTAGTTCTTTTATTTAAGCTTTATAACAAATTAGTGGAAAAATTTATCACAAAACATATAAATAATATCTTTAGAACATTATTCACAAAATTTATATTTTACAAAAAAAAAAATAAAATAGAAGTTAGATATAAAATTCTGAACTAATATAAAATAAAAACAAATCAATCAAATTACGAACTTAATTTATAAAATAAGTTATCAAAAAAATTCTTAAATATTATTTCAAATTATATGAACTAATAAAAATAGTATTGAACAAGTAATTAAAAGCATTAAATCAGCTAGTTATATTATAAAATTATTAGTAGAGGTAAGATTATTTGTTTATATTATAATTTATTATTTACGATTTAATATATAATACACTTACTATATATTAATATCTTTTTATATAAAATAGGATATAAAACATATAATAATTCAACACTTACTAGTATATCAATATCTGGAGTTTATCTTTTTGAATATAATTTTGATTTTTTAGAAAATTAACAATTAACTAATATTTCTAATGATCATAAATATATATTTATTGATGTTAAAATTGCTCAATAAAATAAATTACTTATTACTTTTAAAATTGATCTTTAGCAAATCATTAAGTTACTTATTACTAAATACAAGCTAATTTCATTAATAATACATAAAATAGTAGTAATTTTAAGATATGTTGAATTAGAAATTAATAAAAAAGTTATTATATTTGATTTTTAATAAACTTTAAATTAGATAATAAAATTAAAATAAATGCAATTATTCATATTGTAATAAAGCATTAATTTCTTGAAATGATTATTATAACTTACAAAAATACATTCTAAATAAAGATGATGCAACAATTAATTTCAAATTTACAAATTGCTGCAACATAAGCTAAAATTAGTTGCAATTATGTTGTAACATTATTATTTAGATTGTAGGATTTCACAGGCAAATTTGCCTACTTATTTACTATAAATTCTCTTTTGATTTACTTCTATAAATAATTAATATTTTTAAAATTTTTTTTTTTTAAATTAATTATATAAATATGTAATATATTATAATGAGTTTTATTTTTAATTATATAATAAAAAATGTAATGTTACTTAGAAGCTAAAAATTGTAATTTTTAAAAAAATTTTTTTTTAAAAAATTTTATGATTAATCTATGATA